ATCACGAAAGAGAGTTCTCTTAGTTCATGGTAATATGGTTATGTTATGCAAAACTCTGTCTATATTCTTCTTATCGATCTTGATATATATTGAAGATAGATCATATCTTCAGTTTCTACAATATCATCGTTAATTTTTGATTGCAAAAATATTGAAGATTGTTGATCAGTTTCTATTGATATTTGTTTATTTAAACTACCATTTATATCATCCATTTGTACATCTTGTGTTGTTGAAATAGCTAAAAATAAATTTTTCGACGATAAATTTTGTTTTTGTATAAATAAAACAAAACTTACATTCATTATTAGTATGATGAATACTTTCTTCATTGTGATTTGCATCAATATGATTCATATGTGACTCAATGACATGATCAATATCTATTGACATAGTTTGTATTTTATTTGAATCTTCTATCTAAAGAAAGGAAAAAAATCATATTCTTTCAAGTTAAATATTAAATGATGATTAACTTGATTTGAAAAATTATCAGAAATTTTTTTTTGAATTTGTTCAATTATATCACTAATAATTTCTTCATTTGTTGGTTCAACAATCATTTGTTCAATACCATAATCAGGTAATATAAAAAAATTGTTTTGTTTCTTTTATATTATTTTCTAAGTTAAAATTACATTGATTTCGATCAAAAATTAAATTTTCTTTATTAGAATTATTATTATCAAGAATAGATGTTGAATTACATATTGGTACATTCTTAGATGAAACTTTATCTTTTTGTGAAACCGTATTTGCAATATGACGATGAGAGTCAGGAATATTTGTAGTTGACATAATTTTCTAAAGAAAATAAACATGAAAACAATGTTTCGCAATTTCGTAAAAATAAAGTTAACACAACTATTAAATCAGACTATGACGAGGACATTTCTTCTCTTTCTATTTCTAACTCGTATGCATTTATTTCATCGATATATTCTTTCGTTCTATTTTTATGCGTTATTGAATGTATTCATTATATAAACTTTCTTTCTACATATTCTAGAAACATATCGATATGCGTTCATAGAGTTCTCGTAGTGATGAATTTTATTATGGCTACTTTTCACGTTAGCTCTAATTATGATCAGCGGATCGATGAAAATGTCACTTTTTGAATTTTCAAACGACTCACAAAATGTTTAATTTCAGTAGAACGTAAATATTTTTAGGGAAAGAATACCATACGATAGATCTCAAGATCGATTGCTCGGTTTTTTATTACAAATCGTTTTTTTTTTCGAAACTCGAATTTCCGTGCTTCGAAGTGCATTTCGTATTCGAGTCGAACTCTTCGATATCAACCTGTGTTTGTTTTCAATTGACCTTCCAAAGTGAGGATTTTGAAGTGAAAACCTCGTTGTTCTTTCGAGATAATGAACTAGAAATCGGCGGTAACTAGATAATGAAAGTAAGTTCTTACAGTAAAAGAAAAAATGATTCGATTGACTGTTCCTACCATCTTTTGAAATTTTTGACACATGTAAATATAAATTTGAAACCTATTCTTTGTCACATATTTAAATATAAACTTAAATTAATATATCTACATCTAAATTTAATTGATCTAGTTTAATTTTGAATTGGTAAAAGTTTTGAAGATTTTTAAGAGGTTATGTGGTGTTAACTATGTACATGATTGTTTTCAAATCATTTTATATGTGGTTCATTTATTTGTAAATTTTATATATTATTTTGTAAAATCTATACTTCTTTCATATTATCAGGAACAAGATCGTAACGTTTTGAAGAAAACGAAACGAAAGAGAATCACTTAGTATTTCGATTCTTTGTATTTCCTCGCTTAGCACGAGAGCATTCCTAACAATTAATAAAAGGGCTATATCTCGACACGATTTTGTTTATTGGTGTCTTCAATAAGTAACTAGACACTGTCACTGTCATGGAAAAACTATAACTGTATTTTGTTGAATCAAGCAAGTATAATATCAGTATAAAAGTTGTTGTAGGACAAAAAAAAATGTCTCATACAAGGTTTTTTTTATTTAAAAATAGTTAAAAGAAAATCTTTATTGAGTAAAGTGAAAACGAACCATAATGCTCATCTTAGAAGGAAAATCGTTAAACGTGTTAGTCGACCATGGCGGGTTGTGCTTTTGGTTATGGGTGCTATTCAAATATTTATACATTCAAGACGTTCCACCGCTATTGAAGCGCGATCTAAATATAACCTAGTTTTACAAGGTGATAATTTGACTACCATAAACGACAAGAATGTAGTTGACAATGAAATATCTGCTATTGTTTCATTATCGCCTTCAACATTAGAGCAAACTGATAAGTTTATTAGTAAATAGCAATTGATGTATGAAATGTTGTCTGAGGTTGGTAAAATCAATATAAGTCAAAAATAAGAAAAAAATAAATCAAGACAAATATTTCAAAGAAATTGGTTTAGAAATAAATGCCATAATGATATATGTTTTCGACAAAAAATCATTGTCAATGTAGCTCTTAACATTCGGAACAAGTAACATAATAATAAGGAATTTGTTGAGAATCATAACACAATAAGATCATAACCCCTTTGAAGGTGCCTACAATTCAATAGTGTCATACTAGAGGGCAAAATATTGACTCGAAAGTTTCTAATCATCTGGAGTTTAGCATTATTTTTAGCCATGGAAAAGATAGCATCTCTTTATTAACAGAAATCTATTTGTACATGCACTAACTACTGTTTTAGTGAACTATTAGATTTAGTTTCATTTTAATCTGTTCTATTCTGATAAAAGGGCAAATGTACGAAAGCATCGGAATCTCGTTTGCTTTGTTTTACTATGTCGTGTTTTGTAAGTTGTACTCAGACGAAAGAAATAATATTCTTTTGAAGACTATAAAAACCTACCCAATCATGTAAAAACTTAATTAAATAATCGTCGTTAATTTAGATTAAAACCTAATAAAACAATGAGCGATATATAGTACCTTTTAATCGAATACTGATGATTATTAATCTAATGAATTATACTGTGTAGTTTTTTTTTAATAGAAAATAATTGATTACACATTGTCATTTTCAAGTAATCGACTAGTTTTTGTTTACTCTATAGATTGTTTTTATATGGGGAGCACTTTTTACAAACAATTTTTGTCTTCCATCGATTTTACTATGTCGGAGAAAATCGAGCTGACTCCGTATGTTTTGTAGGAAAACTTGATTCTGACAAAAATACAATTGACCAAAAATATTCCATATTCAATATTGCTAATCATTTATTTCTCAAAGAATAGTTATAAGCTCTAACATCTGTACGACGATTTGAGGTAAATATGGTTCATCCTCTCAAAATATTTTAGTAAAAACTGATGTACATATATTTTGTGTCAATAACTTATTTCACTGTGACTGTACGAAATCGATTCATTTTCTATGGAAGTCTCGAAAATAATATTTCTTTTATCGTTCTACATAAATACGAAGGTTTTTCGTTTGTAAAATATTTGATAAAAGGGTACTCGAACATATCGTTTAAGGCAAAGTTTTTAAATTTTTAAAGGTAAGATAGACTCTTTGTTGATCAAATTTGTTTCATTTAAATATGAAATTCTTTCAAAAAGATGTCTTTATTTAATAGAACAACGGTCTTTACTATTTTCATAATTCTTTTAACTTAACAATAGTTTTATATTTCGTATTTCAATATTTTTAAAGGTTATATATTTCTATGTTTAGAAAAATCCAAAAAAGGATTATCTGTTTCGACATGTGCCTGATGATGGATCGAAAATGGCCTATTCGCTCCATTGAAGGGTGTGGGTGTGGGTGGGTGTGGGGTGTGGGTGTGGGTGTGGGTGTGGGTGTGGGTGGGGTGTGGGTGT